GATGTGCCGGATACTCTGTTTCTAAAGTGACCGGATACTCTGTTTTTAAAGTGCCCGGATACTCTGTTTTTAAAGTGCTCGGATACTCTGTTTTTGAAGTGCCCGGATACTCTGTTTTTGAAGTGCCCGGATACTCTGTTTTTAAAGTGCCCGGATATTCTGTTTTTGAATGCTGCCCGATAAAGAGATATGGATTGGATCTTTTCAGGCGTGCGTTTTGATTTTTTTTTATTTTCCTCCATCAAGCTGTTTTCTCCCTTTCTCCGATTTGCAACCGTCTGGAACATTTCTATTAGAAAACCGACGCCAAGCAGTCTAGCACGTGCACACGTGACACAAACCACGTACACCCGGCAGGAGGTTCGAAGTTGTTTTCTAAGATATTATTTTTTTTTATATAGCAGCAAAATATTATAGATTCATAGAGAGTTTTATAATGTAGCTGTATGAGTTTGGTCAACCTCAGACGATATACACAATTACTATGTGATGATAAAGAGGCCAGGGCCCCGCCTTTGTTTCCTGGCTGTCTTCTATTTCCTAGTCACGTCCAGTCTTCTCTGAAGGAACGGCTCCTCTGCAGGGGGCTACTACAGGGGCAACTGAGTGGCCTACACCTGGATATCTTGTAAGTAACAAGACTTACTAAGAGAACTGAAGGAAACACGCCACGTTTATTAAATCGAATGTCTAGAAGCACTTACGTATCGGAAACCATCTATTAACAGACCGGAAATATACATGCGGCGCCCCCTGGCTGACTACTTGTGTACTGCTGCTGCACCCACGCCACCTCCTGGAGAGAAGTGATACTATCTGGTAGACCTAACTGCTACTTTAAATAATATTTTCCTTAATAAATAGGACTCTTTCATGACGTAAGGACCAGGTTGGGTCGGTCCACCTGTTGAGAAGGAAAAGTTACTGAGTACATACACGACCAAGGTGAAATGTAAACATTGTTCCAAATTTTCAAGCATACCCCGGAGTGAGTTGATGCGTACTAATGAAATGTCCTAACCTCGCCGGTCTTTTATTCTCGTCGATCAACACACCATACAATTATAATTACGATCCTGGTCTAACAGAGAAAGTGGATATCTTTTAGAGATGAAATTAAACAGTTTTTTTTAGAAGCTCTAGAAGATATTTAACACTTCTAGGTGGTGGTGTTTTTTTTTAAGTTACAATGCTCTATTTAACTTCTCAGTTCGGTCTCTCTTTCTCTTTGTTGTTGTTAGTATTCACCTGGTGGACGTAGTTTTAAGTAGCTCCTAAGAGGCTGGTGGAGGGAGTTTAATATTTCGGACACCCCCCAAAAAAACAAAAGAATATTTTGTTCTTGTTGTTTGTATTCGATTTTTGTTGAATAATTGTATCACTGTCATGTATATTTTTAAAGAGTGGGGTGGGGGGTACACATACTCAAAAATGAAGGCCCATTATATTCATAATAGTGAAAAATCAGGTTAGATGAAAAATGTTGGTAAATCACACACACGTACACACAAACACGAAAGAACTTTAACAAGATCTTGGCAGGGCCTGGTGGGTAGAATTTTAACAAGATTATGGCATGAGGTGGTGATTAGAGCGGTCAGCTCGGAGTCCGCAGGTCACGGGTTCGAATTCCGAAACAGAACGTACTCGCCCTTTTAACTGTGGGGACGCTATAATGTGACGATCAATCCCACTTTTCGTTGGTAAAGAGTAGCCCAAGAGTTGGCGGTGGATGATATAGGTTTGCGCGAAAATCAGCAACCGAACAAGAACCCTAGCGCTTATCCCTCCCTGAAGAAGGTAGGTGTACCTGTAGAAGGTAGTTGTACCTATAGAAGGTAGGTGTACCTGTAGAAGGTAGGTGTACACGAAGAAGGTAGGTGTACCTGTAGAAGGTAGGTGTACCTGTAGAAGGTAGGTGTACCTATAGAAGGTAGGTGTACCTGTAGAAGGTAGGTGTACACGAAGAAGGTAGGTGTACCTGTAGAAGGTAGGTGTACCT